AAGCTGGTCTTTTCTTCAATGTGCAGCCGACGAAGTCCTTGAGTCTGAAAGGTGAAGCCTACCACGGAGGAAAGAGTAGCAAGGAACGGCTTACTGTTCTACTGTGTTGCAATGAGGACGGGTCAGAAATGGTGAAACCGTGGGTGGTCGGGAAGTTCCGTAACCCGCGATGTTTAAAGAACCTTCGTCGGATGCCCTGCCACTACCGAAATAACACTTGTGCATGGATGACAAGTGCTCTTTTCGAGGAGTTTCTGCGATACCTTGACTCACGAATGGAATCGCAAAACAGAAAGGCACTCCTGTTATCGACAACTGCCCAGCCCACCCAAAGGAGTTGTCGTTTCTCAGGAACGTCCGGGTGGAGTATCTTCCTCCGAATGCCACGAGTCACCTCCAGCCGCTCGACGTGGGCATAATAAAAAATGTCAAGCACTTCTACCGGAAGTGGATTGTCCGGCGATCGCTTGCCATGGTGGAACGAGGTGACGCTCCGACCAAGCTCTCCATCCTAGATGCGATGCACTTTCTTGCTACAGCGTGGGACGCCGTCTCTGCTACCACTGTGCAGCACTGCTTCCGCAAGTGCGGGTTTCAACGCGCGGGTCAAGTACAAGCGTTAACAAAAAACAACGCTGACGAAGATGGCGATGATTCTCAAGAAATGGAAGATGCTATGGCAAAAATGGGAGCTCCCATTACCTACTGCGAATATGCGTCGCTTGACGACAACGTCGTTACCTCTGAACCGCAGGGTGATTCCACGTCAATTCATGCAATGATGGTCCGGGTCATATTTTAGATATTTTTGTTAAAAATATATATGAAAGCCATGTTTTTGGGAGGAACATTCAGCTAGATATGAACGCCATAACAATTTTTTTCGCTGAGATATAAAATAGAGAAGCTTGGGGCGTGGAAATTGAGAAGATTTCACAATGCTACTTTGCACAGTCGTCATTTTCTTATCGAACTTTCCACGGCACCATAACTTTTTTAATAGGTTTTACAAAGGTTATACAACACATACACAAAAAATTAAAAATATCCATAAAATATTTTAATGCAAACAAAAATATCAAACATAGCACAAAAACCCGTTTTAGAGACATATTCACAATTTTTTTGCAAATAAACCATCTTTCATAATACTTCACAAAACATATCAAAATGCGCGTATTTAAATATTCTTTACGAATATATAAAGATAATATGCCCACCCTTAAAGATATTTTTGTTATCAACGCGGAAATTCGGCTGATTTCTCAAAATGTGGCAAGATTGGGTGTCGATATTTAAAAAACTCCATCTTTTATTTTCTTTAAACTCCCCTTGGCACTTTACAGTGACTTGAACTAACCTGTGATGGCAAAAGATTGAGTAACATATGACCTCCAAGCGGGAAAAGCTACGACAAACCTTCACTCGGAGCGAGCCGACGTCTTCGTCACAGCGGCTTTGCCGCACAGCACCAAACGTTTTGAGCGGTAGTTATGGCATGTATTTTATATTATTAAAATTCTTTTTTTCATAAGGGCTGAGTATTAGTGATGCGAAAATGGACTTTGAGGTGGAATACCATTAATTAGCTTAGAATTCGCAGGAACAAAACGGCCCCACTGTGCGAATTCGCTAACTATGCATAGATAAGCCTAAAACTCTCAGTTATGCGAGTGGCCATGTATACATCCGGATTCTCGGCATATGATGACTTCCACAGATGAGAAGCCTGGATTCCTCTCACAAGTTTTATGGTGGTCCACTTTGCTTGCTTTACCGCACGAAACTCTCGAACCCGTTCCACAGACAGGTGGAACATGCAGACATTTGTTACTTTTTTACGTAGCACTTCCACAAAGTCTTTAGCGGTGGCAATCGTTGAGTTGAGCGAAGATCTTAACTTGGTGAGCGTTGGTTCTTCCACCTACTTTATCACAAGCGCTTTCTCCGTGTCCAGTGGCTGAAAAGATCCATCTTGCCGAAGAGTGCGGCTTCCGAGACAATTTGTGGAATTGGAAGCGATTCTTGAAATGCGCCGCCGCTCCATCTGATACAAAATTTATTTCAAAAAAGACTGGGAAATGAACATTAACATACTCTTTTATGGCCTATGTGGCTAGAAGAGCGTGAGCTGTGTCAGGTGTCGTGTACCATCGGTGACAACGGCAAAGCTTTGCGTGCCTAGCGTGGACGTAACCACACTTGTGGAGAGAGACACTTGAGTTTTTTTTCAATGAAAACTCTGCACTTCGCTTGGAAAGGGTACTGTCCATTTTTCCGCAAAATCGAAGTGGAACATCACTGCATTGGGTGGTAAGGCGGTTCTTGTGTCATGTATCAGGCTTCGTTCAAGGTCAAGGATGTAAGAATGCCTCATACACTTTTCGCTCTCCTATTGCCGCAGGAAGGCAGAAGTGTCCATAACCTTTTTGACGAGTTCGCCAGCGTCCCATAACGCGAAACAGATCTCTTCGTCTTCGTCGAGATGAAGCGACTGCAGCGAGATGCTCTGCGTTTTTGGGCACTTTTCGCAACGGCGCAGAAAGCAATCGTTCTGTGGAGGGCAGAAGAGGTAGATGCGCTTGAGGTCGTCTTCAGTAAATGTCTTCTTTGGGGAATTTGTTATTGCCGTTAAAAGCAACTGAAAATTGACGCAATATATGCATGCGCACAACTCGTGCTCGGGACTTTTTTTTTACCCAATTTGGTCGTAGGGAATAAAATTTGGAGATGCCTAGTTCGGGTTGGGGATGGTCCTTCCTAAACAGCTGGTAAGCTTCCTTAATAGAGGGGGTCATAAACCTTTTTACGACTTTGAACATGTCGTTGATCATGGCTTTGACGACGTCCTTTTTGTCGGGGCTTTGAACAGAGCATGCGAGGTCGTCGCGTGTGTAGTACTCAATTGCAACCCCCACGACTTCGGCCTTCGCCTTTTTCCCCATGTAGGGATCAGGGGTTGCCCAAACACCACATTTGCGCTTCAGTTTTCATGTTTGATCAATCATGTAGGCAGTCGCACCGGACACCAGACGCAATATTGTTTTCTTCAGGATGATTGGTGGCAGAAGCACGTACAATCGCTTGCGTTCCTGGTGGGAACTACATGCCTTCAGCACTTCGCAAAACGCGTCAAACCACTCTGCGCAGTGCTCACAACTGTCTTCGAGTTCGAGAGTTTCGTGCGGTGAAGCAAGCAAAGTGGACCACCGTAAAACCTGTCAAAGCAATCCAGGAAACTCATCTGTGAAAGTCATCATATGCCGAGAGGCCAGATGTATACATGGCCATTCGCGCAACTGAGAGTTTTAAGCTTATGTATGATGCATAGGTAGCGAATTTGCAGAGTGGGGCCGTTTTATTCCTGTGAATTGTAAGCTAATTAATGGTATTCCAGCTCAAAGTTCCTTTTCACGTCACTAATACTCACCGCGTATAAAAAAAGAATTTTAATAATATAAAATACATGCCATAACTAACGCCCAAACGTTTGGTGCTGTGCGGAAAAGCCGCTATAACGAAGACGTCGGCTCGCTCCGAGTGAAGGTTTGTCGTAGCTTTTCCCGCTTGGAGGTCATATGTTACTCGATCTTTTGCCATCACAGGTTAGTTCAAGTCACTGTAAAGTGCCAAGGGGAGTTTAAAAAAAATAAAAGATGGAGTTTTTTAAATATCGACGTCCAATCTTGCCACATTTTGAGAAATCAGCCGAATTTCCGAGTTGATAACAAAAATATGCTTAAGGGTGGGGATATTATCTTTATATATTCGTAAAGAATTTTTAAATACGCGCATTTTGATATGTTTTGTGAAGTATTATGAAAGATGGTTTATTTGCAAAAAAATTGTGAATATGTCTCTAAAACGCGTTTTTGTGCCATGTTTGATATTTTTGTTTGCATTGAAATATTTTATGGATATTTTTAATCTTTTATGTATGTGTTGTATAACCTTTGTAAAACCTATTAAAAAAGTTATGGTGCCGTGAAAGGTTCGATAAGGAAATGACGACCGTGCAAAATAGCATTGTGAAATCTTCTCAATTTCCACGCCTCAAGCTTCTCTATTTTATATCTCTGCGAAAAAAATTGTTACGGCGTTCATATCTAGCTGAATGTTCCTCCCAAGAACATGGCTTTCATATATATTTTTAACAAAAATATCTAAATTATGACCCGGACCATCATTGCATGAACTGACGTGGAATCACCCCGCAGAGCATAGCGGACATCATGGCCGACCTCACTACTGCCGACAACGAAGAAAGTGATGAAGAAGACGAGCAAAAAACGAACGATGACGTTGCACCCACGTTTGCGGACGTGATCGCTGCGTTGGACACCTTGCGCCGCTACGTAAACGTTCATGACTGCGCGGAGAGTGAGAGGGGACTGCGGCTTCTGGAGAAACGACTTTTACTGCATACCATTAATTCGAAGCGGCAGGTGGATATTACGCGTTTTTGTGAACGTGTCCGAGTCCAAAAGAGTTCGGTAAGTGCATAAAATAAACCATTGCATAAGAGCTGCTTTCTATCTTATATAGAGTGCCTTTAAGTACGTTATCGGTTGCTGCGCTTTCCCGGTTGATAAACTTTTTTTCCGCGGTCCCCTGAAAAACGTATCAACGAGGTTCTACTGTATGAAGGGCTTTGACTTTTTTCAGCTTAAAAACACTTTTTAGTAAGGGAAGTTACAAAAAAAATGAGCTGAGAATTATTATTCCTGTTGCACCGGTTTTCTGTATGGCTGCAGAGTTGGATGACAGCATCACGGTTAAGTTAGCTGTCTACTCCTTGGACTCTTGGCAGCATTTGTGGGGCTGTTGCACGTCTCGTGCCGGGGCACGGCACACTCCAGAACGAAAAGAGTGTAATGTTCAGAAAACCAAAGTTGTCTCTAGTGCCTCACTGATGAGTGCACAAACCACTCTTGTTATCAGGGGTCCCTCAGACCTGGGAGAAAGTTTCTTCATTCTCTGGTGCATTCTCCTTTCCCTAGGTTCTGGAAGAAAGCCGGGTATGTTCCGGTGTACCTCAGGCAAACTCCCGTGAGTAAAACAGCTTCCTCCTCCGCTTTCGGGAGCTCACATTTTCTTAGGGGGGGACACTACCCAAAAACGTGCATGTTTGAACCACTTGTCTGATTTAGATGACATTTACACGGCTTGTTTCTGTTCATGTTGAGAACATTTCCGACAAATTTCGTTCACCTGGGTGAAGTACAAAAAAATTGCAAATGTTCAAAGATGAAAGTGGGCGTGTCTGCTTAGGAAAACTATCGTTTCGAAATTGCTTATAAATTTGTCATTTTCATATGTTATATTGCATTAGGACAGTTCAGAGCAGATAGCTATGGAGCTATACTTCTATATTATATTATCTTTCATGACAAAAAAGCCACATAAACACAAATACTTTTTTAGATTTCCATCTTTTGTCCAAAATATTTATTTTTGAGCGTGAAAGAGGACAAAAATAAAGAATACAAGCTCATAGTTATCTTCCCCTTAAAATTTCAACTCAGAAGAACTCATAAATATAAATCCAAGTTACGTAATAACAAAATGACAGTTTTCCTAAAGTGAAATTTATGCTAAAAAGTTGAATGGAGTAAAATACATTCAAAGTGCCCCAGCCTCTACCTTTTCTTTAGCATCAGTGAAGAGAAAATAGTTTATAGAAAGTTAACTCTGCATTGTAAACTAATAAAACTGTCTGGGAATCTCTAGATGTTGGTGGATGTAAATATAACATTTTTCAAAATCAATGTTTTTTGCAGAAATTGTTTTTTCTGGGTAGTGTCCCCCCTTAAAGGACACATGCAAAGGAAAAAAAATTTTTTTTTAAACGGCTTAGATGGAAAAAGGACACCATAAAACGATTTTACAACGAAGAAAAAAAATTTTTACAGCTATATTTACGGCGCAAAACGAATTTGTAGTTGGCGCCCGCGGGCACCGCGTAAAAGTGGTCTGTATTTATCACGTGACTGGTCTTTATTTATCACGTGGTGCTTGCGCTCTTTCGAAAGCTTCCTATGGCCTCTAAAAGTAACTTATTCATCTTTGTTTGAAGTATAACAAAAAACCAAGACGAATAAGTAACTTTTAGAGCCCAAAGGAAACTCCTGAAAAAGCGCAAGCAGACGTGATAGACCTGTGCGCCGGTCAGACGACGGCGGCGGCGGCGCCCCGAAGCAGACGAACTTGTGCGGCGGCGGCGACGGCGGCGTGGAGAAACGCGTTGAAGCGGCGTTCGCACAACGCTCAGCGTGCGGCGGCGACGCAGCGCGGCGGCGCGCGGGCCTACCACGTGACCAGCGGCGGCTCCCGCGAGCGCCAACTACAAATTCGTATAGCGCCGTAAATATACCTCTAAAAATTTTGTTTCTTCGTTCTAAAATCGTTTTATGACATCCTTTTTCCATCTAAGCTGTCTAAAAAAAATGTTTTTTTCCTTTGCATGTGTCCTTTAAGAGCTGAAGGGGCCTTTCTACTGAAAACCAAGAAATTGGGTTTGTTAAGGTGCGAAAATGTACAAAATTTTAAGTGCTTATAGAATGGTTTTGACATTCCATCCACACAATAAAATGTGTGACTTCTCTAACCTAGTATTTAGGTATGAAATAGAGTGAAAGAACAAGGACAAGAGAGAGGAGTGGTGCTAACTTTCAACGATTCCAGAAAGAGCGGGTAGATGTTATAATCACATCTCTGCTGTAACTGAATTTGTTATTCCTGGGTTATCCTGTATTTGGGAGCTATGTTGGCTGCCATTTTTCCATTGAAATTTTCGGAAAATCATGTTTTTACTTTTAAATAAGACGGCGGTCAGTTCTGAAACTTTGTTGTCTGGTTTAGACCACTAGCGCTAAATTTGGGCGGAAAATGAGCGTTCGGCAATGCGTAGTCCCTTTTCGCAATAAAGAAATGCCCGTAAACTTTTTTTTTAACACCCTGTAAATACAGTAGTCCAGGGGTCGGCAACCTTGTTTTGCAGTGGCAGGTCGAGTTGTCACGAAGCTGACACGGAGGAGGCTGGATGGCAAGTTGCGAGGGGGGGGGGTAGGCGAAGAAAAAGCAGAAAGGAAGTGATGACATTTTCTGTCCAAGTATGGGGATGCCAGACAATGCCAATTGGAGGTACCGTATTTGCACGCATATAACGCGACCACGAATATAACGTGAGGGCAGGTTTTGATGCCCTCAAACAGAAAAAAATATTATTACTATTATAACGCGAACCGAGGCTATGTCAATTTCTCGCACTGGGGGGCATAGGAGAAGTGAAAAGTGAATGGAAATAGAAGAAATATCAGTTTATGTTTTGACTGCAGTCATCCTCACTGCTCAGGTACTTCCGTTTACAATCCACTTGGCGACTACGCAGATAAGCAGCAGCACCGCACCCGCTTGTCTGGTAGTTCCCTTTTCTTCCGTGTGAGCTCCTCGGCAGCCCACAATCCAAACAAGGCACCAAGCAGAAGCACCAACACACAAACACCAGATCACTCTGGAGCAGAAACTAAACAATGCGCAGGCAGAAAAAAAAGGCTACCGGACGATACACGATCACACTTGTTCTGGCCCCTCTGCATAAACAAATGCCTCGTGTTGCATGATTGCGTAAACGCGGTTGGTGGTCTTGGCTTGGCTTGTGCTGACTTGGCTTGGCTTGGCTTGGCTCAAACTGGCCAGTGCCCGCATGACGCGCGCGCACGCGCGCTGAGTTTTTGCGGCGTGCGCGCCTTGTGCAAACACAAAAGCGATAAAAATGCCTTTTATGTTTTCTATTTGCCTAGGCATGTGCGAATATTCGGTTTTTTTCAAATATTTGAACGAATTGTACGTTATTTGATATTCGCTTTGATCCGATTTCTTATATTCGCAAATTTCGAAGTATTCGGCACTAACGAATAGCGGACGCAAGGCTGGTTCCGATAGTTTCGGTTTCGGTATTGCAACGCCGTCAAAATGTCGCGTCGAGCTTTTTTTTTTCTTTTTTGGCGAAAGCCGCATGGGCATCAACATTAGGAAGAAAAAAAAAGGGAACAAAGCCATATCCGTGACCGAGAACGAAAGGAAAGTGAACCACTGAACCGGGAAGTCCGTTCTGCTTGTGTTTCTTGCGGCGGACAGCACGTGCTCGGCATACTTTTGTTGTATTGCTAGGTTTCCATTTGCTCACTGTAGAAGCTGGATTGAATGGCTGGCGTGTCCGCTGTGGCCACCGTGGACGACGAAAGTGATGGCGTTGTGCATCGCAACCCGATCTGGAACTATTTCTTAAAAATCCCACCGGGGACTAGTGCTCGATGCATCAAGTGCAAGGCAATCCTCAAGACTCCCATGGGTACAACGACCACCTTAGTGTCCCATCTAAAGAGGCACCCGGATGCGTATCAGGCCTACATGGAAGAACCTCAAGCACGCAAAAATACTGCCAAGCTCAAGAGCGTGAGTACGCGGAGTCTGCCATCGGTAGCCGATAGCTTCAAGCAGAAGATGAAACCAACGGGACCAAGAGCAAAGCACATGACGAAGATGATTGCTAACTTCATCGCTCGCGGAATGCACCCATACAGCGTCGTTGAAGAAGGAGGCTTCGTTGACATGGTGGCATTTGCCATGCCAGACTACAGCGTGCCGTCGCGGACGACGTTTTCACGAGCAGTTATCCCGAACCTCTACGAGTCGAAGAAAAAGGAAGAGAAAGTTGCAGGAGATTTTCAGCAGAGGTGCGGAGTGCTACTCTCTCACCACGGATGGCTGGACATCGCGCGCGAACGACAGCTACGTCTGTTTGACTGTCCACGTGATGGACAAAGACTTTGGGCAGCATGTGCACGCTTTGGCATGCACAGAGATGAGCAATTCCCGCACGGCCGATAACCTGGTACGGTTTATCGTCATCGAAGAGTGGGAGCTCCCAGCATCAGGTAACTTGCCAATCTACGTCGTAACCGATAACGGGAGGAACATCTGCGGTGGCGAGGTCGCCCTGGTGTGGCGTGCAGTGTTTCGGACACACTCTCCTGTTGTGCGTCAGCGATGCAAAGAAAGAAGTAGCGGGGTTCTCGGAGCTCTGTGCTAAAGCCAGAGCCATTGTGGGCCGATACGAGAGAAGTGCGAAGGCCCGTGGACGCCTTATAGAGATCCAAAAAAACATGCAACTAGATTCACTAGAAGTTGTGCAGGATGTGCCAACACGCTGGAGTAGTGAGCATGCCATGATAGCCAGGCTCGTGAAACTTTGTGTGCCTATCACGGTTGAGCTCTCTGAATGTGAGACTGTTGAAAACCTGAATTCAAATGAGTGGAAGCTCATGAGTGGAGCAGTGAAGGTCCTGCAGCCCCTTGAGCAAGCAACAACTGATTTGTCTGGGGACAGCTATCCAACGCTGTCACAAGTCATTCCACTGCTGCACTGCACCAGGCTTGTCCTGACTCAACACTCTACTGATGAGGCAGCATCACTTTCCTCGAGCCTGCTACGAAGCATTGGGGCAAGATTCCCGGATTTGAAGATGTCGCACCTTCCAGTGCTGGCCATGTTGGTGGACTCTAGGTTCAAGGACATTTGCTACATCGAAGAAAGTGAAAAAAAAAATGGGCACGCAGTCTCGTGTCAAAAGCTGTGGAAGACAGCATGTCAAAAAATGACCTCCATGATGAAACGGCTGGAACTAGCACAGGCCTGGGGTACTTGCCGGAAGACTCCGTGTGGGGTGTCTTTTCGAACCTTAGTTCTGCCGCATGTCGCAAGACGGGCCAACAAGGCGCAGACGAGCCAGCCGAGTACTTGAAGAGCCCTCTCCTAGGACGCACTGAAGACCCTCTGGTCTGGTGGAAGTCAAAGGGAAACCACCTATATCCATCTCTGGTCAGTGTTGCCCGTAGGTATCCGTCAATCCCAGCAACACAGACGACGTGTGAAAGGTTATTTTCAAGTGCGGGAGCTATTGTGAACTGCAGGAACATGATCAGGCAGCTTCTGCTACCTGATCATGTTCATCAGCTTGTGTTTCTGCATGAGAACGCCTGACTCT